TAGCTATTTGTACCATTTATGCCAAATTGAGTAATATTCAGAGTTTTCCTTGTCTTTCATTTCTAGCGTAAGCATATACATTTCCGCAAATTCCAATATTTTATGTAAAACTAAGTCTTCTGGAGGGGTGTTAGGTCCTTTCCACATTTATGTGAAAGCTATACTGGTTACCGTTAGAATGTGTAAAATAATATATGTTATCTCTTTTGGATATTGATCCTTAATTATTCCTAATAGGAAGAGTTCCAGTTTAGGTTCAATTTGATATCCAGTAATTTCCTACATCCAATTTTTAATTTTAATCCAATAGTTCCTGGTCTCAGGACATGACCACCATGTATGATAGAAGATACCGTCTTTTTGTTGACATTTCCAACATTTTGGGCTTACAAAGTTTGTTTTAATTGCTTTACTGTTTGACGTGTTATATTAATTACTGTAACTTTGCTTATGAGAGATTTACTTAAATTAGTGTTCCCCAAACAGCCACCTTCCAGATATGTTGGACTTAATTCCAGCCAGCATGAACTGAAGGCTATGTTGGTTGGAAAATTATGAGATTGAAGTCCAATACATCTGGAGGACATATGATTGAAGAAACTTGTCTCAGACTGGAAATATATATATATAATATAGCCACCTTTGTGGTTACACTGCTTAGAAATTAGCTTAAACCAGGAAATGTTCAAGAAGGCTACCAAAAAGAGGCTGGACAATGACTAATATTTCACTTTGCTTTGTAGATAAAGGCACTGCCGTATAGTATCATCCTATGCATTATTATTAATAGATAACTTTTAAGAAACTGAGCATGGGTTCTTACCATTGGCTTTAGTGGGACAGCTTTTAAATATGGATAGGACAGAGTTCTGCTTAATTGTTACCTTCCCCTCATTATCTGCCAAGAAAAACAGGAAGTCCAAAGGTTGGGACTGTACCTGAGATACCCCGGTCTAGTGTTCCTGCTCACCTTGATACATAATTGAAAACAAGACTGCTTCTCTAGGCAGTCCACTGAGTGAGCAGGATTGTGGGGAAGGAGATACTAAGATATCCTATTATTATTAAGATATTGGGATATTATTACTAAGAATCCTTTGGACTAATTTCATGCAAGCTTTGGCCTACCTTCAAAAGTACTCTGCAAATGATCAGTTCAGATATTTGGTGGTACCTTGCTACTCCATTGCTTTGAAACTCATTGAATTTTGTACTCAATGCATTTTGACACAAAATTTTTGTTCCAGAACTTCTTTATTTGGTACTCAATGCACAAACTAGAACTTCTTGATGTAAGCTGCCTTGTGGACCTTATGGGGAAAAATTGTTTGGTATTCATCTTTTTTGGTACTTATCGCACCTTCTGGAACCAACTAACGATGAGTACCGAGGTACCACTGTATAAGTGACCTGTCTTTTTTAGCATCCGTTTAGCCTGCTAGGTTGTGAAGGAAGGATGGTAAATGAGAATTTGCACATAAAAACAAAAATAGCCATACTGGCTCAAACCAAAGTCAAATATAGTACATTGTTCTGTTCTGATATGCTCATGTCCATAAACAGGACACGAACAGATCAACATCTATTCATAATCACTACTTAAATGGAGAGTGGCATAAACCTAAATTCCACTTCCAATAATTGGAAACCATGTTCATCCCAGTCTCTAATTTAAATATTAGTTCCTGTGTGTATGTATATATATGATGTCAATTCATATAACTTTAAAAGCTGAAAAAAGAAATGTAAGCTCTCCAGGTGAAACACCTCTGCAATAAAACGATCATTTAAATATAGAAAAGAAGAAAAGTTGTTCAGACCATTGTATAAATGATGAACAGTGGCTATCTTTCCACCTTTTATAGTTCTATTTTTTTGAAGTCATTAATGTATAGTAGTCTCCATTTCCTTTGAACTCGTTAGTTTCCACAGCATTAGTATTTAATTCAAAACAATACAAGCATCTACAAAAAGCCAATGAATCTTTCCAAAACAAAGTTAATTTGTGTGATAATTTCTAGGCAAAGGGAGCCCTTGTGGCATGAAATAAAAATAAAGCTTCTTGAGTCAACTTCTGTTCCTTGTGACTTCATAATTACATCCAAATATTTTCTTGGAAACAGTACAGAAGTGGCTTGTCATTGCCTTCTTCCAGCATAGTTTATTCAGTTTCTGTATCTAACTATAGCTTGAATATTCCCAGATGATCTGTAGAAGTATTCCCCTGGTTTCACTCTAGTTAGGATTCGGAAGGCAGCCAAGATCTTCTAGATCACTGGTATGTTTTTCACATCTCCAAAATTCAGATGAAAGTGTCAGTTTCTTCATGAAAAGATATGTAGACATTCAGTATACAATAATTTTTGCTGAATTAACAATAAATTTAAACCTATAGAAATATGGGAGAAATTGAACCTTATTCCCTTCCCTTCTTTAGTGTCCTACTGTGTTTGGGTAGAAAGCTTCTTTTATTAGCCTTTTATGATTTTGGTGGAGGACAAACTAAGAACTTTACTGTTTCCAGTAACAGTGATAGTATAACAGAGTTGGAGAGGACTCTGCCCAAGCAGGAGACCCTATACTATTCTTTCAACTCATACTTGGTGAGGTAGCATTGAATGTTAAAATAACTGGAAGCTTAAAAACAATTGCTAATAAGGATCTTTTTAAAAATGTATAGAGTTCATTCTTCAATTTGATGATATATTTAAATAATAATAAGATTATCAGTTATTTATATTTTGTTGATCATGTTTTGATATTTAACCTTGTTTAAGTTATAATAATCAATTTAGTCACTAGAAGTGATAGATTATAATTCAGTTGTTTATAGTGTACTGACAAGACAAAACTAATTTCATTAAGAATATGAAGTGTATTATGCTGACCTTAGTGGTTATATACAACTTCTTAGCCCATGACAAAATACTTTTTAAAATCATTATTTGTGATAAGTAAAAAAAAGAAAATTATACTTGGCCGTAGCTATAATATATAGACATTAATACCATCTTGCAGAAAAATAAGAATGCTTGTTAAATATTAAAATGCAACACATAGATGAGAATATTATGATTTTAGCCATTCTTTTTTTTAAAAAAATTAAAAATCACTTTTTGAAACCATATTGGAGTGGAGCAGTATGTTTCCCCCTCCTAATTCAGGGAACGGATATGCTTTACAGGAGTATGTGTTTTATACATCAAGCAATTTTATTTCCCCAAATAACTTGTAAAGAGAGGTAGGAGGAAGAGACGACAAGCCCTTTACAGATCACACTTCAGCAGAAAGAATGTGCCCTTCCCTTTTGAATGGGTAAAGTGAGAAAAAATGTCCTAACAACTTGGGGGAAACACTTGGTTAGATGCCAAACATTTCAGTAAGTTCAAATTTCCACCCACCACTGGCCATCACCTAGTCAGCTGCTCAGAAAAGAAATACCCTGTAAAAAGAAGCAGAAGTTACAATTGCTAAAGTAACTAAGAGAGATAAATTATTATTCTGTTTACTGATGGCAAATAGAATTGGCCTTTAAGTTTTGGGTAAAACAGAGATATGTAACCTGATACCTGCTGAATGTTTGCAATTAGAGTTTCCATAATTCCATCCATTATGGCTGTGTCCTATAGAAGTTATCTACCATCTCTTATAGTGTACATTTGAAGACACTACGTTGTTTAAAGGGTAGGATAACTAAAGGACAGCATTCCCTTTGTCCTTACTTCAAATTCACTCTTGATTTCAATTTGGAGGAGGATACCTAAACTTAATTGTAATTCTTTACCCAATAAAGCAGTTGAATTATATAGAGATCCAAGGACATAACCTCGAAGAAACAAGACAAGGATGACAATAACAAAAAACATGTTTTAAGCCCAGGAAACTAAGACTGGCTCCTTCCTAATTCACTAATGAATAAGGAAAACAGTCATGCTCTCAAGGTGCTATTGTTAATAAAGTATCATTCCAACCTGACTTCTAAAGCCAGTTTCCTGATCTGGCCTACCTCAAAGGGCTGACACTCGAAGACAGCCATTGCCATTTTAAAAGCTTGTCTACAGCTAATATAGGTAGGAATTATTTGGTTTCCCTTGTGTTAGAAAGTTTTTTTCAGGCTAGGTCTCTTTTCTCTAGGTGGATGTTGGTTAACAATTCTTGTAAGACTATCATCTGGTATTATAGTGTCTTTGTGGCTTTCCTGCCACATGGCCTCTTGCGGTTTTCTTATTTGGATTGCTTCCTGAGCTTTGCGCCAGGCCGGAAACAACAGGAAGTGATAAAGGAAAGAGAAATTAAAAGAGGAATACACACAGGGGAGTATAGGGTTGGGCAAACTGAAGGATACTACAGATTCCATCATTCCTTCAGAACAGGATTTCTTCCATCTACACTTGGACTAGAATAATGAGGAGACAACATGCATTCTGGACTCAGCGAGTTGCAAGTAATGCTTGATAAATGGACTGCGTTTCTTCTTCTGAGATATTTCATTTCTGTAGTAAACAAGGTGTTCATTAGCGCTTGTGATTTTGGAATTGCCTAATTATCTGGATGCACCTGAAAATTCTAAAAGGCTATATATTTCTTCCTCTGCCAAGTACAACAGTAATTGAATTTGGGGAACAGAAATATTCTTTAGTGATTATTTTCCCCTGATTTTCTGTTGACTTCCGTTATCTCCATTCGCTTTAAGGTTCAGTGCTCACTTTATTAATTACCTCTCAAAATTAAAAGTTTTAGAATAGTCGTAAATGTTGACACTTTCAACTGTGCAATCAAATAATAGCTGGCTGAAAAGAAGCTGACAAAAGCTAATCCTCTGGAATCTACCCAAGGGAGCAAAATGTCTTTAACTATTTTGGGTATATTATAAATGGGCTCCCAAATCACTTGCCAATAAGTCAGTTAAAAAAGGTTGAAATTCGTCATTCTGAACAGATAAAGAACTGAAAAGCTAAGCCCAAAATGAAATACTTAAGATAAATTGTTCATACATATACAATAAGTAATATATTTTATATATTGGAAATGTGGTTCCAATTTAGCCAACACTCAAGAAAGCCTCTGCTTCTCAGTTGTAAGTTAGGCATGGAAGCTCAGCCTTCCCTCCCTTATTTGAAGCTGCAGTTACTTATCTGCTTTCTAATTTTTAAAGAACTATGTGAATATTATAACAGTCATACAGAGCAAAAAGTTTGGAATTGGCCATCATTTCCAGCCCCAGCTGTTTTGCAGGAAATCTCATGCAATACTCCATATCTCTCTCCCTGAAATAAGTGTGAAATTGCATGCTTGCTCAGCTGGGATGGTATGCTTTCTGGTTTCTTGCACAAGAGGTTATAAAATCTAATTGCCAGGTTGTTGGGTGCTTTCAACAGCTGGGGGGAGGACAGGGATGTTGGGGCGAGAGGTCCCTGGGGTCATTCTATATTTGATGTTTTCTGTGTCAGAAACGAGACTTCATTGAATGCTCTATAAATATCTGAATGTTCTTCATTCACTTGATATTCATTATTACGATAAATATATTTTAAAATCAGTTTTGCATGATGAGACAAATTTAAAGGTGAAATTGACAATTCATTAGCTTTAATAAGTGAAGGATGTGGGTGGAAAATAATATAGGCAATCAATAAAAATATAAGATTTCATCCCTGATTATTCTTCATTAGTGTCAGTGACAGAACTTTTAAACATTCTATCTATATCTGGAGTTGAGTCCTTGTTTTTTAATGTAGGGTCACATATTTTTGGAGTACTGTGTCGTTGTTTCTGAGCGTCTCGTTTTAAGAAAGATGTTGACAATCTGAGACATGTCCGAAAGAAATCAGCCAGGATGATTGAGGTATTTGGAAAAGAAATCATGTCAAGACCAATTATAGCTCTGCATGTTTAACCTAAAAATGACAGAATGATATGACAATTTTTAAGTACCTGTATGGGGGGGGGGGGAACTATCACTCAGAAATTGAGCATTCTTGTTTTCTTATTATTTCAAAGAACATGTTTAAGGCCAATGAGTGGAAATGGCCAGAAAGACCTGTTTGGCACTGGGAGGTGCTGTAAGGAGAGGCCAGGCAGCCATTTCTCAGAGGTTACTGTAGTTTCATCCTGAATAAATGATGACTTAAGCAACAATGATTATGGAGTAGCTTGAATTTTGCCTATTGACAGTATGCATACCTAACAGGGGAACAAGCTCTTAAGGGAAATGAAGTTGTTCATATTGTCATAAATCGGGTGCACTTTCCTTGTCACTTAATTGCAAAATACAGCAGAGAGCAATGGACTACAGCAGGGGTCCCCAAACTTGGCAACTTTAAGACTTGTGGTCAAAATTCTGAGAGGTGAAGTCCACCAGTCTTAAAGTTGCCAAGTTTGGGGACCTTTGGACTACAGAGACCATTGATAGGCTTGGTGTTAATTCTAAACATTAAATATCTTTTTTTTTTCACTAGTAGGAATAAGTTACATCCAGTAAGATTTTATTAATCAAGATGTTGTTAGGATAGAGAATTTTCCCCTTAATGCTGAGTCTGATTGCAGACTTCGTCATTACTCCTAATCACTGTTTCTCACATCTGGAATTTGTAAGTAGACACAAGTTCAAAACAGAACTGGTTATATAAGACATTCTGAACCTGTCTTGTTTTCAATTCAAATAGCTTAAAAGTGAATTTTTAAATGTACAGTAATTTTCATTGTTTCTCATTAGTTTGTATTTCTAACTGAAGGATACTAGGTAATATTTTAATATTTGAGAAGTTAGCAATCAAAATAATGCAAAGATCAGCACCTTTCGATATCCAAGAAATGTCCTTTTGGAGGTACACTTTTCACCAGTGCTGGAATTCAACTTTATATGGCTAAAGAGAGTCATTATAAGGAGCTTTCCCAGGCTGTATTTTGCTTGAAATGATCAGCTCACTTCCTAGGGCAGCTGTTCCATCTATAAGATCATGCTGCTGACAACTTCTCAAACTGGGATGTTCTTTACATTTTCTGTTTTAACTATATGTCATTGCGGAAATATTAAACAGTCCATGAATTTCAGAGTGGAAATAAATCAAACAGTCTGTCTGCTTTGTAGGGAAAGGAGTCCAAGTTATGGTTTATTTTAATGATGGCTTATAAGCACACTTGGCTTCATAGACACATTAATTATGGTTTGTTTTGTAAATCTTGGTTTGTTTTTCTTACATTTTAACAACTCTTGCTTTACATTTATCTGGATTAGTTAACATTTTTGGCAGAACACAAAAACAGACTATAAAATTACAAACAAGCCATGTGCTTCCCCTTCCCACCCAAATCTGCAATCTCTTATGAACAAACCATAATTTCAAACTGTTTTATTGCCTTAAAGCAAATCATAACTTAATCATTGATCCCATTCACACATTATATGAAACCTTAACATCAGTTTGCCCTGAAATTGGTGTGCTGGACTAGCTGTGCTTGATTCTGTGCCCAGAAAATGTGCTACTTTTTACAGGTGCTTTCCCAGCCATTTATTTTTGACCTCCTGAGCTCCCTTACTAATGCTACAGTGCTTCCATGAACATAGATGGAAAACATATTAGCACGCAGACAAAACAAGCATGCATGAGCTAGGAGTAAGAACGGGTAAGCAGAAAGAAGTCATGCTCTGTTGGATGTAGCATCATGGAGAATGCCCTGGGCAAACACACTCCTTCCCAAAATTAGAAGCACATTTTGTTGAAGGTCTTTGCATGCCTGCAAATTGATTCCTTGTGTTAAAGTCTATAACCTACTTCCAAGACAGTATTTTTCTTGCCTAAGTCAGTGCTGAGAGGAGAAAAGAGCTCATTTTAAAAATCCTTGTAGCCATTATGCCGTAGATTCTTTTGGAGAAGAAGAGTATGTTTTTCACACAAATGTATGCATTCTTCTCTTTGCAATATATGCAATTCAGAACTGTTAAATCTGTAAACATTTTTGAGAATGGTTGCTGAATAGTAGTTTGTCTGTATGAGAAATATGGTTTTCAACTGGCAGTGCAGAACTTTGTATAGAGCAGGGGTGTCAAACTCAAGGCCCGCAGGGGTGTCAAACCTCAGGGCTGCCCTAGAAACAGCAAAGAACAGGCCCACAGTGCCTCTGCCAGTGAAAACGGAGTTCGAGACCTCCGTTTTTGCTGGCAGAGGGTTTCAGGAGGCCGTTGCAGCCAAAAACGGAGCTTGGGAGCCTGTTTTCACTGGCAGAGAGCTCGGGTGCCCCCGACACAAGTGATGTCGAGCTGACCACGCCCACCCTGGCCCTCCAAGGTCAAACACAACCGTGATGCGGCCCTTAATGAAGTCATGTTTAACACTCCTGGTATAGAGAGAAACAGATAGAAGAACTGCATGTCTTTAAAATGGACCCACTGCTGAACTGCTTTATATTATAACTGTATGATGGATGCAAAACTGGAATCTGGTTATCATACATTGGTTAGTTTAGCCTTTCAACTTCATCGACTTTAAGCTGGGAATTCTAGGAGTTGAAGGTCCACATATCTTAAAGTTGTTGAGGTTGAGAAACCCTGGGCAAAACATAAGATTTTTATTTTTATTTTTTTGCTCTCATGACCCCTTCCCACTTTTAAAACTTATGGAGAATCCAAAAAAAGTTTTTGTTTGGTTTATATTTATTGATATTTACCATATTTAAAAATTCAAATTGATGTATTCGTAGAATATTTGTTGAATCATGTAAAAATAACTATGAAATTCATTAAATATTAACATAAATAAAATAGTTTTCATGACAAAAGCCTATATATATATTTAAAAATAAGTATGAAAAGAGATGATATTGTTTTAATTTTTTTAATTTTTTTTTCAATATCTGGCAAATAATTTTGCAGACCCTAAGAAAGAACTCCAGGGATCTTTGTACCACACTTTAAGAAACACTAAATCACTGGATTGGGAATTTGTCTTGATATATTTTAAATTATACCCTTTAAGTGGCCTTGATCATATTGTCATTCACTTCAACTGATTACTGTTGAAGTGAATGACAATACTGGGAAATGTCTCACAGATTTTGTATAAATGCAGATATAATTTTAAAAAAACGTTCAGATAAAACTACAATAAAGGAACTACATTTTCAGCAGCTTTATGAGAAAAATCACAAGATAAATAACCTTTTGCACTGACTGCAGGGTGCTCCTTAGTTGCTGGTTCCACATCTACGTTTTCTTTTCACAGCAATTTTCAGTAGCATTTTCAAAAGCTCTGGTAGAAGTATCTCTTTATTTCAATACAAGTTTGACAAATGGGCTGGCTGGCTTACTTACCCAGCTCATCTTTCCATATGCTATTTTTGAACCTCTCTCATTGGTGGGCTTCACTTGTAAAAGAACATTAGTGTCCAGCAGTCTGTTACATTGCCTGCTGCACAGATGGAATGGAGGTGGCTCTGAAAATAAAACATTTTCAACAATATGAAATATCTGACTTTAATGTACAGCTGGCTATTCCACACTTGAAATCTTTCTAAACTTTTGTGCAACAAGGGAATTGAAACCTTACTGTCTTAACTGTCTTTGAAAAATAATAGAAGTAGTTACTTGTTAAATCTCTGCTTCTACCTTCTCGGCAATGAATAACTCCAACTTAATTTGAGTTTGGTTGCTCTGTGACCCAGTAATTAGTAGGCCTTTTGGTGAAAGAAGCACTACAGATGAAGTTTTATTCTAGGCTTCTTGGAGTGTCTTCCAATATGGACTATGTCCATGATGTAGACAACATTCACTATCTTCTCAGGGTGATTATGAGTGCAGCCAGGCATGCTGGCCATTGCAGTTATATTAGAGAACTGGAGTTGGCAGTTTATCTTCACATACTGTGTCCCCTTGTGCTATAAATATCTGCAATACAGGATCCCTGAGAAGAGGGTTGCTGGAATCATTTTAGGGTCTAATTGCATCTTCTAGAATGGGTCCTCTTGACATTCTTTTTTGTCATATTTCTTTGTGCCCAGAATTCAGAGAAAAAAGATTGAAT